AAGTGTTATATAGGAACAGAGTAAGTTTATTACATAATAATTGTAAATTAATAATCAATGCATTTGAAATTATCCAAAAATTTTATTGTTTTTAATTACTCATTAATTTGTAATTATATTTTTTTATACTTCAAAATTAGTATTTTCTGTTATTAGAAATATGATTATGAAAATTTAAAATTGACTATAATTAAAAACTGTGAGAGTATCATTATGTATTAAAAGTTAGATAGATAATAATATTAGAGAAAAATGTGGCTTAACTATTTTTTAAAATTTATATTACTGATTAACTGTTCTAAATTAATTAAGTTTTTAATAAATAAATAAACAATATATATAGTATGAATAAGTTTTAAGTTATTTAATAATAAAGAAAAAAAGCTTTTAAAATTTTATTCAGATACAAAATTTATAAATAATTTAGCTCATGACCATCAGGTCCTAGAACTAGGTTTAAGAATGAACTTAATAAGATTTAAGTCTTAAGACTTACTTTTTTAGAATCTGATCTATAGGTCTGTTTAATAGAACTTATAGGTCTCAGAACTAAGACTAGACTAGGACTAACCTAACTATTCTTATCAAAAATATCAACTTTCATCCTAATTATATTCACTATAAATTTGCTATTTTCTGATCATTAGTTTAACTTCAGAGTTATAGTTTAAATAATTATCATTATTATGATTATGAATTTCATTTATAAAAGTAGTTAAATTTTCATTTTCTAAAATAATTATCTAAAGTATCAATTTTATTTAGATCTACATTCTTCTTATACCAACAGCTCTTTAACAAATTAAAGGTAAATTTTGTATTTTGTATTTATAATATTACTTAAAAAAATGATAATAAACTAAATCTTCACTAAATAAAAATAAACTTATGCAAATATGAAAATAATCTTAAAAAATACTACATAATTAATGAATTTGTATTAGCTGCTATACTGTATATTGAACTTCCTAAATTTCTGAAATATTAGTAATATTAATTCTATTAATAAGAGATTTAAGAGTAATTTGACATTTATTTGTATAATTTTCAAGGCAAGCAAAAGAATCATAATCATTAATCTTTTTTTTTTAAAAAAAAATAATCAAAATTATTAGTATTAAAAACTAATAATAATTCATTAATTAAATAATAATATACTATATAAACTTATATTATCATAAGCATAATATGATTAGAAGAAATTAATTTTGTATAATATTCAAAACAAATATTGATTTGTATCTTTTAAATAAAGAAAATTTTACTAGTTAAAATGCTTCTTAAATTTTCAACTAATTTAAAAAAAATACGAATAGCAGATGAAGAAATAATACTAAATGACAAATTGACTATAATATATATATTAGTAAAATCAAATTTTAGTATTTCAAATAATTAAATAATTTAATTAATTTTATTCTAATCTAACCACTAATCCTAATTTCTAATCTTAATATCTGATTCTAATCTTAATCTTTAACTTTAATTCTGATCTCTAATCCTAACCTCTAATCCTAATTTCTAATTCTAATTCTAACCTTTATCCTTTAATCTTAATTTTTAACCTTAACATCTAATTCTAATTCTAATCCTTAATCCTAATTCTAATCTCTATCTTTTAATCCTAATCTTTAATTCTAATTTCTAATTCAAATTTTAATATTAATATCTGACTAATTTTATAAATATTTATCTAATAAGTAAAGTACTTAGCCTATCATTTTTTAATTGAATAAAGAATATTTTTCAAATATGAAACAGATTTAGAAAAGTTTATACACAATAAATAAAATATAATTCAAACTTCTTCAAATAATGTATTATAGCAAATAAAAAACTATTCATAAATACATTAAATTCTAAATTAAGTGAATATATTAAATTCTTTTTGATATTTTAAATTATGTAAAAAATGCAGTATAAATATTATGTAGTTAGAAATATAGTTTCAATTACTAGTTTAATCTAATATCACAATCAGAAAAAATGTTTTAAGTGCTAATTATTTGTTGCTAATAAAAAATTATTAAGAACTCATATTTTTAATAAAGTTATTTCATCAAACATTAATGCTTGAGATATTAATCTTGAATAGCGATATTTATCAACACTTATAATGACAGGTAATATTTATTAATTCATATTATATTATTATCTGTTAAAATAATATTATGATATCTTAAGTAAAAGTTTGTTAATAAAATGTCATCTAAAATAAATAAAAAAGTCAATTTTTAATATAATGATAAGTTATGAACAATATAGAATTATTTTTCTAGAATCTGTATTTTTTTTGTGAAATTATTAAATAATATTAGTCAAATTTCTATCTAAAAAAAGATGATCTTTAAATTTATCTTAAAGAAGTTACCTTAATATATGTTAATTAATCTTATGAATTATATTCATATAAAATTTGATCTTATCTATTACAATTTAAGGAATTTGTCAATAAATATTAGCAAATTGAATTATTTTAGAATTAAGTGAATGACTATAATATGTGAGATTCATTTTAGTAATAGATGAATATTGTAATTTAAGTAGTTAGCATATATTAATAAAACAAGAGCAATCAGTCTTAATTGATTCTTTTGCGTTATTTTAAAGGATCAATTGCTATTTTTCTTAATATAAATTTACTTGCATGTTTACATTCAAATACATATTTATATACATCTTCATTTTTATTTAAGTATTTATCTTAGATTTGTCATACGAAGTCAGTTAGTTTTTCATAAGCCAATAATACTAAATTTGCATAGTCTCAGCTTTCTAATTGTATTCTAACATTTATTTGAAGCTTGATCAAAAGTACTATTAGATATAATCAATTTTTCAAGTAAATATCTTTTAGAAATTTTACTATAATTAGAAGTTTGTTGGATAGATGATTCTTTAAAAGATCCATTCTGTTTATTAAGAGGATAATCGTTATCTTTAATATCAAATTTATATTCATCATCAAATTCATTTATTTTGTGTACTAAAAAGTGATAGTATTAAGTAAATCAAAAAAAATTAAATTAATAAAAGTAGCTTTATTACTTCTTTTGATATTTCTGATAGTAAAAAAATAATATTAAGAATTTTTAGAAAAAAGAGAGCAATTGTAGGAAAAATGATCAAAATGATCAAAAAGATTAATATTCAGATCATTATGACATCATGGGATGATGGTATTTAATAAAATCATCAGAATGATTAAAATAAAAACTCATTTTTAATATGAAAATTATATTTGAATTATAAAATAAAATTGATTTTTAGATAATCTAATAATAATTAAAAATTTAACTAATAAAAATAATTTATTAACTACAAAATAATTTATTTAACATATTTGAATACATTTATAATATAAATAACTGTAAATTATCAATATTTTTGTTCTTATTAGTAGAATAATTCTTAATTCTAATTTGTGTTCAACAATTATATTTATAATTAATCTTATTTTAGATTTCTAAATATCTTTCCCCTTTTTTAAAACAATTAAAACAATAACAGAAGATACGATTTATGCAAATAATATATCATTCGGATTTAAACTATTTTTGTCAAAAATATGTTTCTCCGTCTGAAGTACACCCGATAACAAATGAGTTAATAACTTGTTTGATTGATCATATATGAATTGGGTATAACTTGTTTTTCCAGATTTTCTTTTTTAAAGTTGAAACATCTTTATTTTTAGGGGGGTAATTTTTTTTTTTTTTGAAACAATTCCATTCAAAAAATTGTATCCTGCATTAAAAACGTCACACAAGACTTGACTTTGTTAAGCTTAGCTTTTGGAATTTTGAATATTTGAATATTTGTACTATTAATTACTCAACACATCTTTACTCTAAAAGAAAGATTATAATTATTATAATTTCTTTTTATGGTTTAGTTATGTCAAAATTCGGCAATTAAAAATAAATAAAGTGATCAACAATCCTTTAAATATACAACAAGTTATACCATAAATAAACTATAAGTTTCGAATCTCGAGTTCAAAAAATTGATCGAAATACGCCCACAGAGACAGTGTAATCATTATATTCTATTTTGGAATAGTATTTTTGTTTTCTTTTTTTTATTTTAAATAGGACATTCCCAGCAAGGTCAAAATATAAAAAAAAAAAATTTTCCCTTTTTTTTTTTCGCGTCGTATCGTGTTTTTGTAATATTAATAATATATTTGAAACCATTTGTAAATTTTTATATACTCTTAGAGATAAAAAGGTTTTTTTTATATTATAAAATAAAATGCGGATAATAAGAACGAATTTATCAACAAACTTATTTTCATTGCTTTTTGCAATTATATTATGTGTATTTCCATTATATACAACTGCACAAAATGCAAAAGTAAGAATATTTGCCCATGAAGAAACGATAGATTATGGACCAAAATCATTACCTCGTATATGGAAACAAAACACGTACGATGATGGCACAGCAGTAGTTAGAATTATTAGAAGAAATCCTGCAATTCAAGGACCAGTTTGTTTGATTGAAAAGCTTTTTTTAAGAATCATTCATCTTGATGGAACGGTTGATGAAAAAGATTTGGATTTAGGAATTCAACCATTTAATTATTGTTTATTTCAATCTAATAATTTAGATGTAGAAGGACAAACTGTTGAATTTATAGATTATTATTTGATTCGAAAGAATCAGATTTTAGTTACTTATCATAATGCAACAGATATTAATGATTATTATACATATGAAGAGTGGGGAATGATAATTGATTTTGATGGTAACGTTAAAAGTAGAACTCCATTTGGATTCGCTTTCGTTGCACCAAAAACTCAAATGATTACACCAAATTCTAATATAAAATTAAATATTAATCGGGAAAAGGGATTTCTCAGAATTGCTACCGTTAGAAATACAACCAATGCAGAATGGCAACAATATAGAGTGGAACTTGATGGAACGATAACAAAATTAACTAGCGGAATGCTTGATTTTGAAGATTTTGACAGTTTAACTCAAAGTACTATCTCAACAGTTGATGAAGGTTACGCTATTGTATATGCGAATACATCACTTGCAGGATTTCAACCATCTGAACCATTATCACCATTAGGTCAATTATTCTATTTATATATTGGATATAATCAATATCAGGTTGCACCTTTATCACTTTATCAAACTACCGTACCAAATATAACTTTTCCTTCATTATTTTGTGGTATCGCATCCGTTGGAGTTGGACAAGTTTGTACTTTGGCTGCAAGACAAATAGATCCTGCAACTTTACAAGTAAATACTTTTTACGTTATGGTTAATTTCTTATCCTCAGGATCAGTTTTTTCTTTTAAAGTTATAAATCGCTTATTTCCCATTATTGAGAACACTGTCCAAGGTATAGATTGGATGGTAGCCAGTTTATCTTATGGCGGATATCTTTTAACAAATACTGTTCGTGGAACTCCAGGGACTTTAGTTTATGGGTTTTTGTTTGGAGAAGATGATGCAAATTATGTTGCTTGGGATTTAGAAGAACCTCAACCATCTAATACAAAAGCAGCAATGTCAATCTTAAAAAATAATAATACTTTGATGTTGGCTCAATTTGAAACTACTAATACCTGGTCATTTAACGTAATTGATTTGCCTAAATTCACTAATAAAGATAATGGTTATTCCAATAACAATGTTGAAACAACTTCGCCACCGATTCAATCTTTTATAGAACCAGATTCACAAAAAACTATTAGAATCGATTTTTATGATCAAATTGAATTATCAAATGGTAATATCTCAATTTTTCAATTTGATGGTAATGATAAAAAGTTACGACAAATAATTCCTGGTAACTCGTGTACGTTAGATAATGAAAGCAAATCTATTGTTGCTAATGTATTGGATAGTACTTTTAGTTTATCAAATGCAAATTATTTTATTACAATGGATAACAATTTTGTTAAAAATAAAGCGTATAAAGAACCTTTATTAGGTATAGGAGACAATATTTGGAAGTTTTCCACCACTGAAGGAAAGAAACAAAAATTTGCTTCTTCAACATCTGGTCTAGTTCGTTTAACTGTTGATGGTACCAAAGTATATGATAGTTTATCTTCTGAAGATCAAGACAAATTTTTTAATACTTTATTAATAGAATTAGCTGATTCTATTCCTGTATCTCCAACACGTTTTCATTCAAATAAGAAGATACAGCCGGACAATAGTCTAAAAGATAACCCATATTTTATTTCTATTGGTATTGAAGAAACTGAGGATGGGAATGAGAAAAGTGTTGATTCTATTATTAAAATTCTTGAAACTATGATTAAATATAAAGATCAAACTCCAATTGGTATCGGTGAGGTTAGTAAATATTTGGACGCCTCTTATGGTTTTAATCCTAAACGTAAGTAAATAAATGTTTTTCTTTTTTTTTTTTTTGTTTATTTGTTATTCACTTATCTGTTTTTGTTTTATATAATAGCGGATTTATGGGAAACATACAAATATAGATTATTAGGTGTATTTTTAGTTGTTGGGCTTTTAATTATTTTATTCTTATTCGCTCAAAAAAGAGACAAAGCGGTACGCATATAACTTCGTTTTTATGAATTTATTTTACAATTGGTATTAATTTTTTAAATTCTTTTTAATTTTTAAGGGTAACAATTTTGCTATTTTACAACTTGGATTAATTCTTTTCGATTTGATCATGGATGTTCTGTTCGTAAGCAACAACTCCAGAGACATTCCATTGCTTTATATTCCAAGGTATGATGAATTTGCCTTTGTAATTAATTAATTATATCATTATTCATCTTTACTAACTTGTACTTTGTTTAATTAGTGTTATCTTTGTAACATTACCAATCGGATTAAATACAATATTAGCTTTTTACATTATAACGAAAGAAAATGCAGTACCAGAATTTTACGAATGGTTCACGAATAATGGAAAGGTTGCAAGCGTATTTACATTATTATCTGGTGCTGACATCGAAGCATTAAATATTTTACAGTCAAATTTAGCGGGTTTTCCATTTTTCCAAGCTCCTTTTTCTGATGGCGCTAAATCAAAAATATTTTGGAGTGCTTGTTTAAATATTTTTATTGAAGATTTTCCTCAAGTTATAATTCAAGTAATTATTTTTTTTTTTCTTTTAAGTAAATAAATAATATATTGAAGAATTACTAATCATTGTTTCCATCGGTTTATTTTAGATTTATTATAGAATCAATACCGTGACTTATGATATTATTCCATTACTTACGTTAATTTCCT